TACTAACTATACTACTACACACACACACACACACACACACATATATATAGATATATATATATATATATATGTATATATATATATATATATACAGATGAACACGTAGTCTTAAGTACACATGAATGTGATGCGTTTTCATACATTTTTCTGATATATATGGATGTGTATTTATTACAGATTGAAAATAGCAAGACGTAAATAATATTGAAATCGAGTTTAGCAAAATATACTTAAAAACTTTCCTGTTGCTGAATTTGTGGGAGTATGATTGATTTACACAGCAAAATCGTCCAAACAAGGACATTGATCGTTAGTTGGTGGTGCACTTTTAGTCGAAAAGTATATCTTGTTGCTCACTGAGTCTCCCGCAAGACAACCTCAAAAATGGGTTTTGCACTATTTACAGGTCTGGCTACCGTGGTATTGTCAAAGTTGCCATGCCCACAATCCATCGAAGCGAAAGACGTGCTATATATGCGGATACCCATCAATGTGGAAGCGGGAGGGCGGCGTATTTCGTTCTTTACCCCGCAAACCGGTCGGAGAGACGCTGGCGTCATCTCGATGGGAATGCAGTAAGTGCACTTACCCGAACTCAGCTCACGCAACGAGATGCCATCAATGTTCTGCGTTCAAAGATGCGAAGGGCGCATGGACGTGCAAAACTTGCAAGGGTATAAATTGGTCTTACCGACAGTTCTGTATCAATTGTGGTCCTGCGATGTGAAGATCCCATTAATAAGTCTTGGATAGCTTTCAATGCACAAGGTTCTTTGACAACCGTTCGCACAATGGAAGTAGGGTGGTATTGTTATCGCAGGGCAAATCAATAATACAAATTGTCGGAAGACAACTGAACGCTAAGCTGTTACAGCAAACGTCTGTAGTATGCTCGGGATCTGTGCGCTGGACATGGCCAAGCATGAAACACTACACTTCATGTCGTGCAGCTGATGTTGAACAACGTATTCCATGCGTTTTTTCGAATGGATTGTATGCCTCATGAATCGTCGTACCGGCATATTAAAGTACCAAAAAGCTTAACCTTTATCGTATTATTCTATCGCTGTGTGAGATAATTAAAATAAGTATCTCGAGGAGTCCGAAATTAGTACACCTTCGCCATCAGCGTCCTCTCGCGCACGTGCAAGCTTCTCAGTGTTGGCTTCGCCGAAGTAGATATTGCCAGCATTCCCCGTGGTCATGTAGTCGTCGTATCTCGCTAGATAACCAGGATATCTCCATATTCCATTGCGCTCAGAAATGAAGGAAGCCTCAATGACTGCTGAGGCTTCTAAAACAGTAGCTTTAGTCGCCTCAATCCCGCTGTTAGATGTGTCAGTCAGACCCAAATGGCATTGAACTAGATGTCCCCTGACAATAGGCGATCTAGGATCGCTATGGTCAACATCACCCAGCTGTACGGTAGAATTAGAGGTTTGGGCACCACCCATCGCCTTCCATCCAAAGTAGTCAAGCTTTCCATCGGTGAAATACTGGAAGACTTGTTCATATGCACTGGGCTCCGTAATAACATCGAACATAAGGAAACTCGTTTTGTAGAAGACAGACTCCCTATCGAGTGTAGTCATCGCTTTAAAGTCATCCACTGTATTGAATTCTGCCACTCCGGTGAATGCATTTACACCTCCCAAGTAATCGTGCTCAACAAACATATCCCTAATTTCTGTCGTACTGAAAATACCACTAAAGCCCACCTCAAAATCAGCAAGTAGCGCACTCTCTGCTTCTGCTTTCGAGCCGAGATAGACGCCACGAATGCGGACGTAAGGGTTGCTATTATCATCACCACCTACACCAAAAGTGAAAGTCGTTGTCAATTCCTCTGGTGCGTCTATGCTCGCATACTGCTGCCACCAGTTACCAACCTGTACCGAGTCTTCGAGACCACGTGCACGCGTATCAATATAGACCATCTTATCGGATGGGATAGTTGTCGTATGAATTGTAACTGATGTGATAAATCCAAAGGACGAACTGCATCCTCCTCGCATGGCATAAAAGAGTTCGCTATTTTCAGCCTCCGAAACCACGATGAGATCACCAGTGGCGTTGACTACTTCAAACTGCTCTATCTGATCTGTTATATAGCCTGTCTTTCTACCCATCATGCCGTATCCCGCACATAGTGAGTGTCCTGCTATTCCGAGATAGGGCCAGGTACCCGCTCCAATAACCGACATATTGCCACCTTCTGAAGCTTCAACTAAGAAACCATAAATACGGCCCAGTCTGTTGCCAGATTCTACTTTAATCTTTCCGGCAATAGTGTCCACTTGTACGTCGATGAAGTCGTCCAGGTTGAGAACTATACCCGATGAATACGAGAAACCGGCGAACGAATTACCTCCGTTCCTAACGACTATTTCTTCATTAAGCGACTTGGCACAGACAACTCCTGCCTTGATATCTTCTACATTTTGAACCTTCACGACCAGCGTTGGTTCTTGTTGATATCCTAGATTCGTTCCTATGTATGAATTAAGAAAAAAAGGGTCCGCCACGCCGTAAACGGTCACATTTGGTGACGCGGTTGAGATACATTCACCGAGTGGCGTAGCTTGTCTGGGTGTGATTTTGTAGGCTTCCAGACCGCCTACAACCGCTGTTATAGCGAGAAGTGAATTCACTACTATCCTACCCATGGTGTTCTTGATATTGTGAGCTATGGTACAGATCACACACGAGTATTTAAAAATTTTAAAAAAGTTGTATGAAATAAAGAAACCCTAAAACATATTTGATATTATAGTATTAAAATTACGTTTCCGCCTTTACGAAATTATGCGCACTTGTCCACAAAGGATTCGTCGCTCTCGTCCAATAGAGAATCTTGCACCCGAAAAAGTATGCTATGGAAAATAGAATCTACCAGAAACTAGAATAAGAGTACAATAGAATAATTATTATAAAAATAGAACTCGAAGCCGGACTGGCGGACGGACTCCTGACTACTTTTTTAGCTTTTAGAGTTTATGTGGAGTTTAGACTGACTGTTTAGACTTTAGTTTGACACTGTTTGACAGTCGAGACTTGCTAGAGTAAATGAGTTCATGACTCTTCGACTCCGCGCCTGTTACTCTTTATAATTTATACATATACTCTCTCCTCAGTCTTGTTCCTGACCCTGTGTCTCTCTACTCTACTAGAGAAAGTGTCTCTAGAGTCAAGAGTGTCTACACTCCACACTCTACAGTCTACACTCGCTACAGACTACAGTCTACATTCTACAATACTCTACACGCCACTCTCTACTCGCTGTATGAGAGTCTCTCAGGCTCTATGTACACAACTCGACATACGTACAGAGTACATTATGTACAGTCTACAGTCGACACTACAGTCTATGTACTCACTCTACACACGCTACAGTCTACACTCTAAAGTTCTACACTACACTATTGTCTATTTAGTATTCTCAGTCTACACACTCTACAGACTACTACTATTAAATACTACTCTATTTACTACTAGTAGAGAGCTCTCTCTCTCTACATATATACTTTAGAGAGACTGGAGAGAGAGAGAGATAGACAGAGAAAGACTGGGGAGAGAGAGATAGAGAGATAGAGAGAGAGAGTCTAGAAACACACACAAACAAAAACAAATGAGTGACTGACTGACTGTTGAGTCAGAGCGTTGAGTGTTGACCGTTGACCTGGGTTGGTATACGACAACGACATACACCCCTGAAAAAATGTCGTCGCGACGTGTATGACATGTCGTCTCGATATGTGTATGTAGGCTTCGATACAGCCACCAGCAGACCTGCCGACACCATGTCGCGACCGACATATCCTACAAAATGTCGCCGCGACATGTATGACATGTCGTTTGCCCAAATGTCGACGTCGTTTTATACCAACCCAGCTGTTGACTGTTCTCTTCAGACTTCAGAAGTTCAATCTTCTCTTCTATTGACTGTTGAAATGTTGAGGCCTGACTCCTGAGACTCTGAGAGGCCGAGGCCCCGGGCCGGGGCCCGGGGGCGACCAAACCGACTACTACATATATGTAGTACTAATAGAGAGAGAAGTGAGTCGGCGTCTCGGCGAGATCGTAAATACGTCAGTGAAGTTAATACAATATACATATGTAAATACTGTTTTTTAATTTTTAGGGAGGCTGAGGCAGACTGGCAACGGTAAATAAGTAGCAGTCTGGCAGAGGCCAGAGGCTCAAGACTTTCACTCTTGAGACTTGAAGAGTGTTGACTGATGAGTCACTTGAGTCTTGAGAGTTGGTGCAGTTCGGTACATATGACAGTTGATACTTTTAATTCAGAGCACACATGATTCCGTAATCCGTATGGACACAATTTTTGTAAATACACTTAACTATTGCAGGCTTGTCGACAGTATGACTACGCGACGACGAAGGATACCTCACGTTAATCACCATGTCCAACACAATGTCTCAATTGCCTGACGGGTTCACTTCACACGCCGAACTGGAAAGTGCTGCCATGTCTCTATTCGCAGAAGGAGCACTTAACCTCGGAGATTTTAATTTTGAACTCAGCTTGCATGATGCCACCTTTCCTGTTATGTCTGATATCAAGCCCTCGGAACCTGCTTGTCCGGATTGCCTTGTCCTCCTTGTCGACACGCGCATGAGTTTTAGTGAAAGTATATTTTTATGTACACAGGTATGCTATAAATCTCTGCGAATTAGTTCCGCATACTGAGCGTCTTATATGCGTTTGATTCACGTGCGACTTGTACAAAATGTAGTAGGTGGAAATACGTGGCTGTATTTTGTTAATATATAGCAGCTGATTTTTATCTGGTTCGAGCACTACACCTCCCATAAACTTCCGCGCCAGGTCGTAGTGGAGAAGTTGATACTCTGGCAGATATACATCTGCCGTTCAGTGTGGTGTGTTTTATATTTCCAGAGCTCTGTATTATATGTGAAGTGCCGAATAGTGTCGTATTCTGTATCGATGTTGTTAATGATCTGTTTCTGTAAAGCTGCTCAAGGTGTTGGTGAGGTTGTAAGCTCATCTTGTATGAAGGAGAATTGCACGTGTCGATTTCACTGCGGCAATTTAACGCTCCAAGCATTCGATTCTCCTTGTGATCACGGGATTCCAACTTTCGTTATAAGCCGTATATGTACCCGCATGGCAAGAAAGCTTCCGGAATCGTGCGAACACGTTGAGAAAATCACACCCACTCGTATATCTGTGCGTAATGAATCATGATAATGATCTGATGATCGTGCTTGTTGCACGTATCAGACCAATAACGAGACCAGACGCAACGCTGTTCAATCCTGATTTTCTCTGGATGTCAAGCAAGCCGACTTACAATTTTTTGAGAAAGAAGTGGGCGCAATGCTCTCAAGAAAGCGTGCTGAAAGGCTCTGTCGTCACACGTGGAAACGCCTATTCTGGGTTGAGTAAATGTGTGCGACGAAGTGCCAGAGTCCGGGATGCTCTGTGCTGGCACTTACACGTAGGTTTCTGTGTTATATTGGGGTATGTATCTGAGGATATTTTGCACATTCTAAGATGAACTGTTCACACTGAGTTATCTATTGTTTTCTAGTGCGCTACACCCGGTGTTCGTGTGCACTTGATCGTACAAATTTGGAACGATTGACGTATGTGGGGGGCTTTGAATTGGGAAGTCTTCGTCTTTAGTAGGAATTCGCAAAGTGTTTTAGACTGCCAGTTCATGTTTTCGTGCATATTTATGCCGTGTCAAGTCGCTGACAGCTACCTGTAGTTGTACATTCAGAAACAGTATTTTTAACAGTGGATCTATTTTCATTATCGATCTTTCACACTAAATATATTTTTTAATTCATCAACTAACTTGTCACTGCTTTCTTTCTACATCCGTATATCTAAAGTGCGACTTCCCCTTCCGGCCAAGCGATGATACGGAAAGGTACATCATACCAACTCCTGATACCAGCTGCGACGCGGACACTCCACCACCATGAAAACTTGGTTTACTGACAAATAGGTTTTTGGCCCGTACTGTGCCTATGCTACAAGAGTGCCAGTGCCAGTGCCAGTGCCAGTGCCAGTCTATTTAATATGAGCGCTATCAAAACAGTCTCTTATCTTTCTGGCCTGTAGTAAAACGTCATCTATGCGCCAATGGGCGTTTAGATATGCCAGTCGTCGACCAGAATCTAACACGCACAATTCGGGAGTTTGTCACCGAGTACACAGTATAAACCAAACCATGCGTTTGTCGCATCATTCTTAATCTGACGCTTGGGCGCAGGATGCTCGCGCCGAAGTTAATCTGCTACCTAGTATGTAGCGCGAGTAGGGAAGAATAGGTGCGGACTGGCGCTATGGCCGAGATGGATTATGGGTAACATTGTGGAAAGGCTTCTTGTGGGTTTGTACTGAGGGTCACGCAGCATCAACCACCTCAAAATTATGGCGAGTTGTGATGAACCTTGTGCTTGTCCATCGGTGATGTGAGGCGAAGTGCGCGGTATTCATACACCAAGGTGCTTGTTGGTCGATGATGTGATGGAGGCCAATACAATTCAAAGCAATTCAAGGGGAAAGTAACGGGGAGTTCGAAACGTGCCAACTACAACGAGGGCTTAGGAGTCGCCTTTGGTCATCTTGGCAGTGTCGGAATCGTGACGCGAATTTGAACTGCGCGAAGTACGGTAATTCCTAATTTACCGAATTGTGCCCATATGTGGCGGCAACCAATGCTAAATGCCCACCGCTTGATAAGTCATCCGCGCATATAGCTATTGGCATAACTAGAGCAATGTGTCTAAGAAGAGTCGTGGCGAACGCGAACATTCCTCGCATCAACACTCACGAAGGCAAATTGAAGCCACAATAAAGTGCATGTCCAGTCTTGGTTGCTATTACGATAAAATTTCCATAGCATTAGCTGTATTGTTGCTGCTATCGAGCCCCAAACATTACCATTCTGGCGTTGTCACTTTTCGGCTCCACGAATAATAACAATTCGTTGTAGTAATCAAGGTCATACGTATGACGTATACGTGTGATTAATTGCACGACGCTGGAAGGGTGACTTTTCATTTCTTGTGGTGCTGCGCTTTATCGTGCATGTTGACTACTAGCCCATCGCCCATACACGGCCACACAGATAGTCGTCGATTATACCCGCATCTGCCGATACTGGAGTCAAGATAAGTTGATTGCCATACCAAAGGTCAATCTCGAAATTCGTATAGACCCTTTTGAGTGTATATCGCTGCATAACATTGAGATGCCGCTTAAAATATCTAGAATTTGAATCAGTATTTGAATTCTGACTGTCCTTCAAACGCGTCAGAATACCTGCCAAACGCATATCGAGCACCAGATGAGTATTTCTCCGTGTGAAAGTGGGTGTTCACTTGTTTGTCCAATTTGAAACCGAAATCGTCGTCGATACACCACCTGAATGAGAGCGATTCAATCCGAATAACATACATGAAGGTATCAGTATACGAATCAGGAATGAAATATACACATGAGTACGTGTTTTCAAATATTCCCTACTGGGCGATTCTCCCAGTGAAGAGTATGATATCACTACTTCAATATGATGTCATACTTATGGAATTGGAGTCTCATGGCATGCACTCAAAATCGTTTACACATGAATGTACATCCAACAGGGCGCCTTCCAGTTATAATTTTCTACAACAATTATTTGAGACCACTAGGACCCTACCCGAGTGTGATCTATCTGATATGTAAGCGCGAGGATGTGTGAACCCGACAACACTCTTCAATCATAAAGCTTGTATGTACACGAGCGTGATGTTATCTGAAAAGAAGCGGAAAGACTGGAAGACACACAATTCTAAGCTTAATACAGGTCTCTTTATTGTACGCCTTCTGCATTCGTCCCGCCATGTACAGGTGCGCTTATAAGAATTTGAAAGCATATTCGACCGAGAAATTTTCCCAATAAAACCCCGGTATAAGGATGTCGATCACTTGTCCGATCACTCGTTTCTCAATAAGACCCTTGGGCCGTTATCATCATACCAGGGGCTGCAGAAGTGGCGAGCCATACCAGCGCTTCGAAAGTCGAACACCGTGTCCATTTTCGAATATCAGAACCTGTAGTATGCATGTTGGTCAAGAGCAATCGTTGCTGCAAACGAGGTTGTCAGGCCGAAAGCTGCTTTTATCTCACTTATCAATGTAAGCTGCTGTGCGCTCTATGCCTATAGTCTCTGGCGTATTATATGTGGATAGATCGACGGTACGGCTGGATTGAAACTCCGTGTGACTGCGAATTGCACTCATCCATTCCGAGCTCACAAAGTGCGAGAAAAGAATTGTCGAACCTGAGATTCTCGCCCTCACAGGGCACGTAATTTATCCGAACCACCGCTCATAGAGTTCGGTACTCTCAGTAACCCAAGTGAACCACAGGCCGCGTGTCACCAGCCAACAATACTGATAACACGCCTGTAATAATGGCGGACCTTCTGCACGTATAAGTGTTCTCGTGCTTCTACTACATTAGACACTTCGCTGTGCATAACAGTAAGGTAACAATGAGGCATGTGGATACAATCTACTTCTGAGACACAGCAGCGGGCGACTATCATGGGATTCGTGCTGTAGGATGTGAGTGTGATGAGTACATACATCTTGGAGGACTTATAAAAGCCATTGATTGCACTCGCCAAACGGCTATAAGGAAACTTTCATCATGAGATTGATAAATTCGTCCTTGCTAACTTCGCCATCATTGTTCGTGTCAGCCTCTTTGATCATTGCCTGTGCGAATGAAAGGTTCATATCGGAGTTGGTAACCAGGAATGAGCGTCGAGCATGGTATGCAGATATCAATTTCGCCCATAAAAATAATGATTCGCAACAATAAGACTGTCACACATACCAACAACTCGGCTTCTTGCATATCGCCACCCAGCTCGAGCGCAACCTTTTTCAGATTCTTTAGAGTAATTTTTCCTGCATGAAGTAGAATTAATTCCAAATTAGCGATATTAACAATTGTAGCACAAGTGAGCTAATGAGTAAGTGCACACGATTCTTTGATGATACCGAGCGCATCTTTAGCGCAAAAAAAAAACAAAAAACACGCAATTACCTGTGTTGTCGTCGTCGAACAGGCTAAACGCAGTGAGAATATCCTGCATACCATCTTTCTCACTCTGAATTGGAGTGAAACAAAACGCAAATGAATTAAATGGGAAAAATATCAGAGTATTGGGATCTCCAAACAAATATACAAATGTTTTCGGGCTTTGTGCAGACTTTCCTGCAACTCCAACTTAAAGTGAGTAATAGATGTGAAATGACCACACGATACGTTTATATTAAAAATAGCCGACTTGCGTGAAAACAAAAACGCAACACCATTGACCTAGCCATATTGCACAAACATGAGAATCGAGAATATTCGCGAGCGAGACAAACTATTACTGAGGCACAAACCTTATTGCACATCCTACAGCCACAATTTCAAGGTAGTCAAATTCTTGTAGTTTTACATCACGATCACCATCTAAGTGCACAATGTGAGCAAATTTGATCATTCGCCGGCTTCACTACAAGGAATATGGAATAAGGACCGAAACTCACCAATTTTCCAGTCATTATGATAACAAAATCCTGAAAATTGATTTTGCCGCTGCCGTCTGCGTCAAAGTCCTCTATAATGCTATCGATTTCTTTGTCTGTGCACTCGGGCGTGCCGAGTGTGACCATGGCCATCTTCAACTGTGACGCATCCTGCATTAGTGCAATGCCAATTAAGTCTCATTCATGAAATTCAGATCGTTTTGTACATGTCTAATACACATAACGACTGAATTTGAGACGAGAGAAATGATCTGCAAGGCAATGCACAAGCATATATGCGTACATGCAACCGCCCGAGAGACACATAAATATTGAATGAGGGTACATGGATATGAGAGAGTAATCATGCTTAAGCACAAAGACAAATTAACAAACTCGCGCATGCCACAAGTAGCTCAGAGCACGCCTTCCACAGAACCGAACTATGCATATACCAGGAGGATTCGATTGGTGTACCATTTCATTAGCTCCATCCAAATCAAACAGGTCGAATGCTTGTTTTAACTCAATCTTCTGCTCAGCACTCAACTGCGGCCCAAGTATCTGTGAGCGCACAGGAGTAGTATAAGTGAAAGTGATGCTTTTACAGTCAGGCAGCACATCCATCGATTCTTAATTTTTCGATTCATTCAATTGCGAGTTCGACATTGTTTTTTAAAAGACTAATCTGAGATTGTATGTGTGCACGCATTGCTACCCTTCAAGGAAATCATCGGCCAACTGGGGACGTGCATTTCAACACTAAAATCTGACGCGCTGTTGACTGTGAGCAATGTGGGGAAAATCAACCACACCAGTCAGAACTAGTAAACGATACGCGACAAGCCTCAGGTTATGAGCTAAAACTAAATAGTAAACGCCATTTAAGTCCTCATGACAAAGTAGCCAACAAAAATTCATACGTAGACTACCAAACAGATAATATATGCGCGACATAAAGAGTATTCGGAACATATGAACGCCCTACACTACATCTACCACACTTTAAACACTTTGGAAAAGCCCACACTTTAAACACTTTGGAAAAGCGGCTTATGACCGCAAACGCTACGAATATATGTCACAGGGTCGCACTTGACTTCCAATATATTCCTACATGGCTCTATCCCAGAATAAATAGGGCCAATTTGCAACTGGAATCTAATAAAAAACATCTACCACTAACCTTGGGTGGTACAGCCCTCTTTCCACTCGCTTTCCTTTTCTTCGGCGGCTGCTCGACATGTAAGAATGCGGACGAAAAACGATACGGTCAATAACATATTCTGACATAGGGTGAGTTCAGGTTTCTGGTGATTATATATCTTGATATCTGTATTGCTATACAAATCGCATAGTTGAAATCAAATCAGTACGATAACAGTTTATTTCATCAGGTATCTCCACATTGATAGAATGCGAAGCAAGAACTGCTATCTGGTCTTTCGATCTCTATCAAAAGCGAAAAATAAAGTATTCAGATTGACACTTCAATTATTGGTGTGAAATGATGTGGGGTCGTACGAGAACAACGGAGGCGATATAAAGATATCGATGATGATATTGCTGCTAGCGGCCTTAATGTACACAGACGAGCATGCTGATATGCAATCTCGACGATTGTATGCTAGTGGATCGCAATGTCTGACAAAACTCTGACAATTGCTTCTGCATCCACTAATCCACATAAAACGTTGTATAAAATCGCCACACTTAGCGTAGCAGTTCAAACGGCATGAACGTACGTACTAATATAGCATATCTCAGAGAGCAAACTCATTGTATACCTGCGACAAATTTGAAATAATTGCTATGCTTCTGTATATTTAACCACGAACACTTGTTAACATTTCAGTCCCTTTGTATACTTGCAACAATGTCTATACCGCTACGCAATATCATAGTGAGCGAGAACAATACTTAGCTTCATCAAAGTGCTTACTACCCCCTATGCGTTCTCGTATCTCCTGCCCGTCAACCATAAAGGTATCCGTTCACACTTTCGTGTGCGGCATAGTTTAGGTTGTTCAAACAATATGATCCCATGTACAACACATACAGCGGCAAAATACACGCTGACCCCCGTCTCCATAAATCCATAGCCATTCTAGTGTATTCATGGTTGTATGTCCTTACCACAGTGATCCGCCCAAGTACATAAATACAATATTGTTCACTTACCATCTTGTCAACACGACCACACGTAACTAATAAATAGCCCTACGGTAATGCTCTGGTCGATATATTTATGTATTCAAAGCAAAATATTGGTAAATATTCTATTTCATCAGCAGACAGCCAGCAGGGGTTTGCCGCTTCGCTTAAAAAGGACATATCGGAGTTTGGCGGGGCTGCGACTGGTTGAAATTGACGGTTTGCCACGAAATAAAATGAAATTAAAAAATAAATAGAACAAAAGATAAATCAATCAACATGACTGCACAATAGCAGTGGTGAACTGGTGATTGCCAATGTGTTATACTAGTTGTAGAAGGTAGATGTATGCAGAAGTGACTGTCGCTGTTATAGTTATAGAAGATATATGTAGGGGGTGATTGCCACTGTGTTATACTTATATAGAAGGCGTCTGAAGTAATGGTTGTTTGGCGCATACAACTAAGATGTAGTTTACGGATACACTGAAAAAAAAGTACTAAGGTTAGAACCTCACAATAGTACAATACTCTGATATCCTGTCGCTCGCAATATAAAGCACGATGCGTGCCTTAGCTGCAGCTATACTGCTGTGCGTATGTATTGTAGCACAGACAATCAGTGTTGCACAGTTCTTGCTAGCCTTCTTCCCCAGTAAGCCACCTTTGGAGGGGAATGCAAGTGTTGCCTCTGCTCCTGGCCCACCGCCGGTTTCGTACGAAGACTCAGTGCTGTCCCAATCTTTAAGTATGTAATGCAGCAAGACTCTCAAATGTAGTGTGCATTTTGGAGTTATACGCAGGAGTCCAGGTCAACGTACTCAACCATTTATACTGATATTGTAAAGGATGCCATTTTATGTACACACGGCAAACGAAAGTTCAATGCACTCGATGCAGCAAATCAGAAGCGCTACAAAGACCTTTTCGGGCACCTTATAAGAATCAAACCCTGTGTGTATATCTGATTACAATACGTATTTTGCATACGGATATATCGGGAACGATAGATGTCACAGCCCGGGTCATTAAAGTTGCTTACATACGTATTTAGTGTTTTGGCGAACCTGGATGGAGCGCGACGAGAGTGTTAGAATTGTGAATTGACGCATTAATATACTGAGCTCAAGAACTCGTGCAAGTACTGTTTATTATTTATTAACTTCGATTCTATCTGAGGATTTCGCTGGCCCCTGAACTCAGACTTGCAATGCTAATAGGTCAGGAACGTGTTTTTTTAGATGTGACATAACCAGTGAGTATCTGCTCGTCCCGTCTCTCAATTCGCTGGGATTAGCCCTGAAGCTTTTTTTGGCCACTGTGACAGGAACCACACGCAAATATCGTATCACAACTGTACCGAATCTTCATACAAAATGCAGACAAGGCGTACAACATAACTCTGTGTGATAATGGGAGATTTCCATGCTACGTGCTTCGTTTGCGGTTATTGTACCCTAATTTCTTCTGCTAGAGGATGTACGATAACGTAGTGTTCCTCAGCAGCATCTTCACCTCTAGTGTTTCAAACTACTTTTACGTGGGATCCCCAACTTTCGAATCATAGTTTGAATAGATAATACAAGCACCACGTGCATTAATTTTGACTTATCTAAGGACAATGTTTGTCAGGCGCGCCTTAGCACTCTCGCCAACATTCGAGTTTATAGAGGCAAATATTGTGTAAGCAAGTCACATCTGTCATGATAGCACTCTTGTTCGACGATAAACCACTGCACTTAATGTAATTTTTTGGTAGCGCATTTGGTATTTTGCGTTACTATGCCCTCTGATATCCCTCTTGTCGACAATCGGTTATCGATCTGTAGTTCTCTGATTTTGCAACACTTATCGCACGCAGACTCTATGTAGTCTATCACTGATTAAACAAAACGTCATCAATCAAACTATAGCCTTGCCTCGCACCCGACTACATGAAGTATAGTATGCAGCCGATAACCGCGATACGGGTGAATGCAATAGTAATTTCTTGATTGTTGCAGGTTTGCTAATCCGCCGTTGATCCCATTGGCAGATGTGTCCACAGGACTGGGCTACAATACAAAGTACGGGCGAGTGGTGCTCATGGTGGTGGATGCTCTGCGATCTGATTTTGTCTTCGACAATGACAGTCCATTTGACCATGTGCGTAAGTTTCAGGAGAAAGGGCAGGCCACAAGCTACGTTGCGAAGGCGCGAATGCCCACGGTTACCCTGCCGCGCCTGAAGGTAAATCATCGAGATTGTACATCGTGTGACAGAAACTTATATATGTATATACGTACATGTCGGGTGAAAATGCGAGTATTCTTATGATCAGTTGGGTTGTCAGCAACCAAGATACAGTATCTGTTCTTTGTAGAGTAGGCAACAACATACACTTCTTTGAATGTCATTCCATACGAATTAAAAACATCACGTGATATTTTGTGCACCACTTCATGGCACGTCTCACGATAAATTTGGTATTTATTCATGGATCTTATAGGCACTGATTACAGGAGGTATTCCGGGGTTTATCGACTTAGCATTCAATTTGGATTCATCTGAACTGAAGATGGACAATCTGGTAGGTCTGTCCTTGATGTACTTTCTAAATACTATATAAACGTGTGCATTTTTGTGACATAGCTTGGTATAACAGGAATGCAGAGCCACGCGCTCACTAATGCGATACAATCTAATTTATTTATTTTGGTATTAAGGTTACACATAAAACCCTCATATCTGGCGGCGTGCCGATTGATGTGGTCGCTTCAATGCGGGTATAAACATATCGTGCATGCTCCCAGCCCATTCTCTAGGATGATTATCAATCATCCATACCGCACACTCACCGTGTACACCTCTATCTCGCTTGACGTACAGATATACCAGTTCGACAAATTGGGCAAGCGCCTCGTACACTACGGCGATGACACCTGGCTCAAAATGTTCCCACGCGAATTTTCGCGCTTTGAAGGAACGAATTCCTTCTTCGTGGCGGACTACACTGAAGTAGATAACAACGTGACAAGACACAGTAGGTCAATCTAGTTGCAGCAGATTCTTGAAATGTGGTTCAATCTTTATCTTTGAATCTTCTTGGGAGGTAGTTGGTTGTGTTAGCCTGAGCGATGCTTGTGGGTAGGAATCGTTCAACGCACCTCAAGTACATGGAAGATCTGATGTTTGATAGGTTGTTTATTATTAAAGTGCACGCGTATGACATACTCATCATATGACAAACTCATGTACGTGTCATTTGCACATTCTGTGGACAGTTGACTCCGAGTTGGTAGCCCCTGATTGGCATGTTCTGATTTTGCATTACCTGGGTGTCGATCACATCGGTCATCTCATGGGACCACAAAGCCCATTACTGCCTCCCAAACTGAGCGAAATGGACGCTATTATTGAAAGGATCACTAGAGGATGTGCAATAGCTGATCAGGTATGTTTATCCTACTCCTCAGTATATATAAGCTGTCGTTTCTACTGTCGTGACAGGTTTGTGATTGATGCTTTAGTGCATCTCGAACAGATATCGGATTGTGCTGTATTCGTAGAAATTGTTCAAATATAGTCAGTGTACTTGCTTCACTCCCATCGGCACGGCAATCCCACATACAGGATAGAGCCGCCAAGAAAATCGCAATGCAACTGATATCCCTGTACTTAAAACTTTCATCCTTCTCCCACTCATCCACCAGGCACATCCTAAACGTCTACCCACCCTGTTTGTCATCTTGGGCGACCACGGAATGACATCGGCGGGGAATCATGGAGGAAACTCTGATTTGGAGATATCAACAGCACTATTGTTCATCACACCATCACAAAGTACCCACACCAACGATACCGATGCTAACACTAAGACGGGCGACTATATCTTCAGACCAAGTACGGTTGACCAGACCGATATAGTGCCCACCATCGCGGCACTCTTTGGCCTGCCCATACCACAAGAGAGCGTTGGTATCGGCATACAAAGCTTTCTCTCTGAGCATCTCACTCGCACTGAACGGCTTCGATTCGCGCAGTGCAATACCTTCCAGATGCTCAGGTTCTTGCACGTGAGCAATGCCGTAGTGGGCCAGAAGCTCGTGGAACTGTCAGAAGCCTATGATCGGGCTGTTGTCTTGCATGCCCAGTATCTCGAGTATGTTGCTACCATGGCCGAAGACACTGATGGGTCAGAAACTGCCAATCGAGCGCAAAATCGGGATGGCAATGGAAACAGCGATCGTGAATCAGAATTGTTTGTGAACATCCTGACTAGATATGAGGAGATCATGCAAACACTGCACGAGGAGGCACTTCAGGCCTTCACAGGTTATGTGGAGTTCGATATGATCCGAAGTGTGTGCTTACTTACCGTTGCTTTAGTGGTCCTGGTTATCTCATACGCAAGCTTTTCTGCTGCCTCCGACAAGACACAGAATCACTACACTCCCACTGATGCACAGCCTACCACCCACAAGCAAGCGTCAATTCGCACGGACTCTGGGCGCACCCGGGTGGTGAGTGGTGCAGATATAGCTACCATCGAATTAATCAATGTGCAAGTGTTTGTACGCAGTGCACTGATCTCTTCGGGTGTTTGGTTAGCCCTGTTGCTGTCACGTAGTGTATGGTCACTTGGGGTGGGATATGCAGTCGCACAATCGTCGTTGCATGGATTCGAGCGTCTGTCGAATGCGCTTAAGTGGTGGGATGTAGGTGATTCATTTGATTTCCTGTCCAGGTATGGTGATGGACGCAAAGCTTGCTCGAGCTCTCAACTTCCAATTTCATACATTCCCGTGGTGACCGGTATATCCGATGTCTGGGTGAACTATTCGTACGCGTGCAATACAGTTTGTCAATCAAGTGTATTTTCCAGTCAATTCATTCTTAATTATCAGCGATGCCCTCGCGTGCTTGATACTTGGCCATAGTGTGATTTTCTGTGAAATACCTTTTGGTGGACTGAAACTCATGCATGAAACAACTTCCATGTTCCAGATCTTCCCAATCACTACCGTCGTTGTTCATTACAAGCTTCAACTACACATACGTATGTATCAAGATGTCCCTTCCCACGAAACAATGTCGGCTTTCGCTTGGAGATATAATCACTCCATTCCTCGTTCATCACAACCTTCAAGCTCTATGGATATCGCGTGGACCTGGATGATGCTTTATATAATCGTATTGCTATGCAGTGTGGGGATTGGAATACATCGCTCGTCTGACTGTGAGAGCATATGGCTGGTAAGTTTGTTCTGATAAGATTTCAAGTTGGAATTGTCAGTTCGAATAATCAACTTTAGGTGTATATGTAAAAGACAAAAGTTCGAATGACTCTTGAGTTTTCTTTCACGTGCGCCACAAGCATCGATATGAAAAGCTTCTACTACATTTTGCGCTCCCGAATATTTGATTATTGCCGGTACTATTACATGAGATCCAGGTCATGAGAAGATGGTACAGAACCACTAATGCGCCGTTGTGTATAGCTGTGTGCGTCCATGCGATGATGATGTTCTCCACTAGTTTCGTCGAGGAGGAGCACGAGATCATTTACTACACACTGTCTACGGCACACACCTATCAAGCCTTTGCTGTCTTGCTTGAGTTTTTCAAATGTAGGTCTTTTTTGTGCTGTTGTGAGGGTGTACTGGTACCGTCTGATTTAAACGTTTCTGTGGCTGGATGTGCACAATAAAAAGCGTAACAAAGATGACCATGTCTATCGCGCGCCTGCAAATTATCACTGACCCGTTTAGTGCTGTCATCTGCATTGAAGGCGGTAAAGCAGTATTTTTGTGCTTATTCATGGGTGGAGAATAGTCGTCACTTCAGTCTCTGTATAGGCAAGCTTATCATGTCAAGTGATAGGCTCGAAAGTTGGATACAACCTGAGGTGATCGCGAAGTCTATGCGGGTTCAGGTGTTCACCAGTGAATTATGCGCTTTCGTATTGTAGGTTGATTTATGGGTACAAAGGAAGTGTATTATTATATGCACTTTCCACTGGCGGGATACTATATTTTCCAAGTTGCCTTTGATAAAAAGCATTCATATATCGAGCACTTACCGGAATTTCGCTCCCACATACATCGCCAGCACAACAGCGGCTACAACGCAACCATTTCTCCAGATTCATACCACCATTCGCGCTGATGATAGCAACCAGGATACTACGTGCGTACAATCAAACGGGCGACAAATGGAGAGGTAGTCCAGACATGCGCGTTTGGCTAGAACGAGACGAGCATGCCATTTTGTATGCAGGTGAGATTTGTTTCCAATGGCTCCATCGAAAACTTATGAGTTGTGCGTTGTAAAATATCGCAAAATATTATATGTATCGAACCAAACATCGATATCGCTGTTGAGTATCACTTTTAATTTCATCCCCAGCATACTTGATAGCAATTTTAAGATTTCCATGCCACGCTTCAATACGCTGTTTGGGTATTCACAATATTTTGAAGTTTCAGCAACGTATTGCGCAAGTGTCTTCATCTGTTCAACATAGGTCATTAATCTGTCTGTCCATCTCAATCCTCTCTCTTCAGTATTGGTAGGACTTTCAATGGTATGCGTGGCTGGTGTATCCAATAAGATCGATATTCCCTCCAGAAAGTCGCACCGTAATCTGGCTCACCAAGCAGCATTGACCGGCAAGAACGACATGCGAGAGAAAGGTGACAGGTCACGAACTGCAGAAAAAAATACTTCCAGTGTAGGTATGACGGCTATCACACGCACTCACCCGTGGTCAAAGAATCTGGACGTTTGCTGGACGATAGTGTGCCTATATGCATGCCTGTGCGCCTTTGTGTACCACATGAAGAGCTCTGGATTGTATGACAAGCTCCGCTTGAAGAGTCTGAGCAACGGACCACATAATGTGATTGATCGAATGGTGGGAATGATGGTGGCAGGACTGGTTGACATCTGTGGCTGGTATGACAAATGTTGTATTCTTAGCATATCACTTTTTGATAGGAAACCTACCTCCAAATGTGTCATCTGGAGTTCTAAAGTGCCAGCATGTGAGCGTTGTGTACATCTTGATTGTGTATCCTGACTTCACAACGACAGGTTTGGATCCGCGATTGTACGCAGTAGTTTGGCCATATTTGCTTTTGTCTGGACGAAGTGGACCAGAACATCCTGAATCTGCGAAAACTGCCAATACCAATACTTTCGCATGCATAATTCATTCTCAGCACTACACGACACTGCGGTGTGTCCAGCAAAAATAACTGCTGAAATCTCAAGTGTTTTACAAATATACAAACTCATTGATTGAGGCAGTGCGCCAAAACTCTCATCACGTGCCGCGGCCACTTGCTTGTAAACAGGTTAATAGGAAACTCCATAGTAAGAATAGCCCAGATAGGATTTTTCTTCATCGCATCGGCAAGTGTGATAGCCGCCATGCGGTGTATTCTACGGTTTCAGATGAAGCCAACCACTAGCGACAGACTCAATGAAGGTGTGTGATGTTAGCTTTATTAAAGGAACCGGCCATATTCCGCTACACATGTTCAATTGAATACATATAACGAAACTTATATCACTCACACCCTCACATCGTATATTCCTAGAATTTGTACACTCGGTGCTCGAGTATGTTACCTGTGGACAGTACTTCAGAACTTTCTGTACGTCGAGTCCACAGACCTTGATTTGAATCCTTAGGGATAATTCACAATGTAACGAACCCCCCCCCCCCCCCCTTAATCTCCGCTTTTCTTCTCTCACCGTTTCAGGGTTGCTAGCTGCGCTGATCAACGATGTTCTGTGTGTGCTAGTGCTTTTGGCACTGCTGCTACATCGGACACACAATTTGCCACTCATCCCTCTTCAGTTGGTGCAGTTCTGGGCACTTCGCAAATGGGCGAGTAGCATGATGCGATTCCGTCCAACGGTGAGTTGGGTCAACATAGTAGGATGATGTGTTAGGACGAGTGAGCTAACTACTTACGATGTGTATGTGACACAGCACGAGAGAGTAGTGAGTACATGTTGGTGACTTCAAATTTGTGACCTAGAATAAGTAAGTAATGAGGATATCGAGTTGGTATGAGTGTGTGAATATCTTTGAGTTTATTTGAGTACGTTTGTACACCTTATTGAGTGTGACTGACTTGAAATATGTGAGAGAAAGTTTGTGAGAGTATTTATGAGTTGGGAAGAATTTCCATTGTACTTGCTATAAGCTGACATACTAGCAAATTTCGATTTACCTTTGTTCGCCGTACCCCAGAATTAGTTTAACGGAGATTTCTCGCACTTACTACACTGAAATAGAAGGGTTTCTTACATACTACTTGTCATCTTTCCCATAAAGTTGCCCACAGTTAAAGGTGACAATTTCGAACATCGGTTAACCACAATGGTAGTGTTTTTGACCTTCTGGCTAGGACGAGGCGCCTTCTTCCAATACGGGAATTCGGGCAAGATTTCGACCATCGATATAAGCGGCGCATATACGGGGTATGTATTTGGAATCCATTAGCATCGGTTTGCTATATTAGCAACTATTCAGCAGCTGTGCGTTAACAAAATGACCGTCTGGCTTGGAAGCTTGGAATCGACGTCATTTATTACTCAAGCACATCGTAGACTATTGTTTTTTTTCTCGCAATGGGATAGGTTGATTAAATTTGTCACTAGGTTTTCTGTTTATACGACCGAATTCTGATCCTTGAGATTAAATCTGTTGTATCGTTCTTCAGAGTTGCACGTAAAAATAATAAGTTTCGAAATGCTGTGCATCAGGTGTACATGCTATATCAACTTGTATAGTCAATTGAATCTTTAACACATGTTTTACTTTCGCTGTAGGCTCAGTGAGTATGGAGGGCCGGTTTACACTGGAACGCTTACGTTGTTTATAACGTATACAGGTGTCCTGATGTGGACACTAGCGCTGATACCGATACTGTCCTGGGATGATGACAGACCGTCGCATCAAAGTGAGTGTGTTTATGTGGCTCGATCATACATTTGTGCGCTACTTGATACCATAGTGCTATGAATGCGCGCGCGTGTGGACTTTCAATAATGTACCGGTAAAGAACACATCGGCACTAGTTTTTATTCTTCACCGCCCTTTAGCTGACTATTCCTGCTGCGGTTCCAAAAATCGAGTCGCTCATGAAATTGTCACGGGTTTTAAAGAGCCTTGGACCAGCCAATTCTGATGGGGAATATGTTTCTCAGTGAAAAACACTATATGTATGTTATCATCCCTGGACTCTATACCCATGTTTCGCCATCAAAGCGTGCCCGTGATACTCACTTGATGGTGATCACTCACAGTAACCGAGTGCACTCATTTAGAACCCATCTTTAAACATTCTATCACATGCGTGCATATTAACATCACTCCTATGCAGAGTTGTCATTCTCCAAGAGAATTCTGATGGCCGCCGTAACCAACTTATGTGCACAAACAACCTTGATGGTTACGATCAGCATGGCAACCTTTGTACTACGGCACCATCTGTTCGCCTGGAGTGTTATGGCTCCGAGGTGAGTAACAAAGGTCATTGCCAATTGTAGAATCAGAAATGTCAATTGTAGAATCACACATGTATTGGTATATAGACGGTCTTTTTCTACTATAGGCGCATACGCCTCGGCGCATTCAATGTATACTCACGGGGCGTTTGCGGAATCTAGCTGTTGTCTGCAGCGATTCTACTTGCAAGCTCTATACTTGTGACTGAACCACGACATCGCCACTAAATATACGTTGAACACCCGCATAGGTACCTATACATGTTTGCGGAAGCAATCCTGGGTGCCCTCACTACTCTGCTGTATCTGGCGTGCGCTTTTGCGAGCGGCAGGTGACAGCACACTCGACTGTCCCCGGTCAGCTGCGTCCTCCAGTATTAGCGGGGGTAATCCTTTGGTAGACTACATTTCAACTCAAGACTAACGATATATGGAGCAGGCCCCGTGTGCAGTTCCCTTTCCCAAATATGGCCACTGCAGAAGCACTGCTGCTGGTGACACAGACGGCATCGCGATTTATACAATCTACCACATGATATGCACATTATAGCTGTACTCAAGTGTAATACATACGTTCGCATATGCGTCACTACGTGCATTGGACCTGTACAAACTTGAAACACGGGTGTGGCTTCAGAATGCAAATAGAATGCCAGATGAGTTGTGAAGAAACCTAACCGGATGCTGCTTATGTATTTATAAAGAGTGTTCATTTGATCACGTAATTATTTGATAGAAGCAGCATACAAGTCTGCAGGCATTTATTTGCTAACGTTTACGTGTTGTAGATTGTACATCGATCAGCAACAAAAACTAATTCAAAATTATAGGTAGGAATACATATACTGTCGAGGATGAATGTCCACAGCAATAAACGTTCAGTGCGAACACGTGCTCTCATGATTGAATATAATCAAATATCACCATAGGTACGTCAGCAGAATCAGATAGTATATGTATGTTTATATCTATCTAGCTGCATAAGGTTACCGTGTATGGAGATATAAGTTAATAGAGAATTTCACGGTGATCTCACCAGTTGACGTAGCATTCTCGTGTGATACTGTAGCAAAAATGAAGTTGTATACAAAGTAATATGAAATTTGCCCACAGAATTATATATATATATACATATACATATATATATATATATATATATATATATATATATATATATATATATATATATATATATATATATATATATATATATATATATATATATATATATATATATATATATATATATATATATATATATATATATATATATATATATATATATATATATATATATANATATATATATATATATATATATTATATATTAA